GTGGCTTTTCAACTGCAACTCTCGCCAAGAGCGGTCCTCTCAACGTCCCGTCCAAACAATAATTCAATTATTTTTTTTTTCCTATGAAAAGGATTTAGGACACATGTCTCAAAAATAGTTTGGTTGTTTTCCAATTCTCTTTTGTATGAAGATTTCAACTTTCGCAAACTTTCTGCCAAGGGAAGATTAGCCAAGGTGTTGCAATAGCAAAACCATAGTCAACTACAGTCATTGTGCAAGTTTTTTGACGTTGAAATTATAGGTATTGCTAATCCTAAGCCTTCGTATTATGAACATCTTCTACAGTTAGAAAATTCCTGTGATTACCGTAAGTGATGGTCGACAAACCCGCGTTACTCAAAACTCAGAGAAGGTTGCGTGACTCCTCGACTTGGTCCAGTCCTTTCACTCTCACCTCCAATATAGTAGGGTAGTCGATACAATAACAATCGCATATCGAGGTGTTGCGTGGTATGTTTCATATAAACTGCAACACAAAATATTTGTTATCCAGCTCTCCTAACTGTGGATTTCTTATTTACTGCCGGATGAATTGATTTAATAAGCTCTAACGTACCAGGGAAATAGGATGGATCACAAGTCACCGGGACGCTACTCACTACAACTTGTATGTATTAACTTGCTCTTTTACTGATGCCATCATGCGTATTTACAAGAGCTAGCAAGGCTATCAAAAGTTGATCCATAGATCTTCTGTTAACGGTCGTTATCATTAAGCTCACTTCATATTGCATCAAAAATGGGTCCAACAAAATATAGAGACTGTGGATGCTTGTGAGTATACTGAGTATGTATGGAATATGACCTGAAAAATATAAATCGGAGGAAGTTCAAGCATCTCTAAAAAAGATTGTCATATCTAGGTGAGAACATCATCATTTAGGCTCTATGATGAGTACTAGGTTTTCAAAGAAAAAAATTACCTTTATTTGCTAAACCCGGCTGTATGTAGTGCTAATCAGAGGCCTTCTTAGAGCATTTGTAAGCTATAAGTCGTGGTATTTCCAGATAATGACACTGGATTGGCTTTAATGTTTCATTTTCATGCACCTATTACAAAATAAAGGCTTTAGGTCAAGAATTTGATCTGTTTATAGCATGAATTATGCTCAAAACTCCATTTTTCTTGGCCTGAGAGGGGCATGGAGAGTTGGTGCCAAAAACCTAACAAACCTTATTAAGCCAAATTTTTCTCAACAGATTTTGATAAATGGGTCACTAAAGTACATACTGGATCTGGTATGGAAGTTATGCAAGAAGGCAGGTGAGTGTTATGGTTTTTTGAAAAATAGCAATTTAGGGTAAT